TGTCCAAACCATGAAAATGTCATCAACATATCTTAATCAAACGATGAAAACTGTTGGAATACTGTAAGTCAAGGATCGACAAATCCCAGGTGCCAGGTTGCCATGGCAACTAGAAATTGTGTCCTGGCGCCTGGGCTTTTGACAGCTCATTCACTGTTCTGCACCTGCTGTCCCGACTCCTGAGTGTGCTCTGCGATCACTCTGAGCATCAGCCTGTCACTCCTTGCACTGATTGCATTACGACTGCCGCTCTCCATCCAATAACAGCCTGAGCCTCCTCAACTGAGCTCAGCAATGGGCACCTTGTGGGTGATCACAGTTGGTGCAGCTGCTGCCTTGCTGTCTGGGCTTCCACTCTGTATCTCCTCATCCGTCACAGCAGAACATGGGAGGTAAAAAGAGGCCTATCATATTAGAGGTGCCAGGGGACATGGCTGCATCCTTTCCTCTCCTCTGTGAATCTGCTCCATCCTCCTCTCCACCTGGCTGCATCCTCCCCTCCACCTTTGTACATCCCCACTCTCCTCTGTCCACCTGGCTCTGTCCTCCTCTCCCACCTGGCTGTATTTGCCCCACTCCTCTGTCCACCTTGCTCCGTCCTCCCCTCCACCTTTGCACATCCCCACTCTCCTCTGTCCACCTGGCTCCGTCCTCCCCTCCACCTTTGTACATCCCCACTCTCCTCTGTCCACCTGGCTCCGTCCTCCCCTCCCCTTTGTACATCCCCACTCTCCTCTGTCCACCTGGCTCCGTCCTCCCCTCCACCTTTGTACATCCCCTCTCCTCTGTCCACCTGGCTCCGTCCTCCCCTCCACCTTTGTACATCCCCACTCTCCTCTGTCCACCTGGCTCCGTCCTCCCCCCCCCTCCACCTTTGTACATCCCCACTCTCTGTCCACCTTGCTCCATCCTCCCCTCCACCTTTGTACATCCCCACTCTCCTCTGTCCACCTGACTCCGTCCTTCCCTCCACCTAGCTGCATCTACTCCTCTCCTCTGTCCACCTGGCTCCGTCCTCCCCTCCACCTTTGTACATCCCCACTCTCCTCTGTCCACCTTGCTCCATCCTCCCCTCCACCTTTGTACATCCCCACTCTCCTCTGTCCACCTGACTCCGTCCTTCCCTCCCTAGCTGCATCTACTCCTCTCCTCTGTCCACCTGGCTCCGTCCTCCCCTCCACCTTTGTACAACCCCACTCTCCTCTGTCCACTTGGCTCCGTCCTCCCCTCCACCTTTGTACATCCCCACTCTCCTCTGTCCACCTGGCTCCGTCCTCCCCTCCACCTTTGTACATCCCCAGTCTCCTCTGTCCACCTTGCTCCATCCTCCCCTCCACCTTTGTACATCCCCACTCTCCTCTGTCCACCTGACTCCGTCCTTCCCTCCACCTAGCTGCATCTACTCCTCTCTCTGTCCACCTGGCTCCGTCCTCCCCTCCACCTTTGTACAACCCCCACTGGCTCTCCGTCCACTTGGCTCCGTCCTCCCCTCCCCTTTGTACATCCCCACTGACCTGGCTCCGTCCTCCCCTCCACCTTTGTACATCCCCAGTCTCCTCTGTCCACCTTGCTCCATCCTCCCCTCCACCTTTGTACATCCCCACTCTCCTCTGTCCACCTGACTCCGTCCTTCCCCTCCACCTGACTGCATCCCCCCTTGTCACTGCCCCCCAGTGTATACTGCTCACTGCCCCCTCCTCTGTATTCTGCTCACTGCTCCCCCACTGTATACTCATATCGCCCTTTCCCCCCCTAGTATGTCAGAGTTATAGGATGGTGGCTGGCCGCTCTGCTGAAACAGATTGGTAAGGGCTCCACCTACTCATTATTCACAGACGGTGTCTCCGATTGGCTGCCCGCAGCCTGCAGCATTTTAGTCAAAGAGCTATCACTCAGACTCAAACAATAATAAAAGGCTGTGGGCAGCCAATCAGAGGCTAAAGCTGTGAATAACGAGGAGCCCTTAATAATCTGGTGCAGCAGAACTTGTGGAAGGGACTCAGGGAGTGCTAAAAGTCTGCAGGTTAGAGGTCCAAATTACTTGCTTTGCCCTGGGCGCTGACAACCCATGCTACGCCACTACAGAGGTGAGCCCTGATGCAGTTCTGGACACCTAGCTCCTAGTTTTTTTTAGCTGCTTCCTAGATTCAAAGCAAATTTGTCAAGCCCTGCTGTAAGTACTATGTATAAACAAAGCCTCGTACATTTTCATAAGTAGATTGGTGTGTTTGACTCTATAACTGTGCCCCACATTTGTTCCAATAATGTATTCTCAATTGCCAACAAATCCATGCCTCCCTCATGTGGAATCAAGCTGTACAATCTCTTCACATCAAGAGTGAACAGTAAACATGTTACTTCATGTTGAGTAACTTTTTTGCCCTCCAGAGGATTTACCCTCCTTCCTGACCAGGAAATGTTTTGAGATACGGGGCTGTGTTAATTTAACTCACAATTGCACGGTCATGCAACGCTCCACCCAAATGAAATTTATGTCCTTTTTTCCCCACAAATAGAGCTTTCTTTCGGTGGTATTTGATCACTTCTGCATTTATAAACGACTGACAATTTTGAAAAAAAACGATACTTTTGACTTTTTGCTATAAAAAACATATCCAGTAATAACATTAAAAAAAATCAAATTTTGTTATAAATTTAGGACAAAATGTATTCTGCTACAATGCTTTGCTAAAACAAAATCCCAATACGTGTAAATTAACTGGTTTAGGTGAAAGTTATAGCATCTACAAATGGCAGTATATATACTGGAAATTGTTTTTTTAATAATAATGGTGGTGATCAGCGACTTATAGTGGGACTACGGGACTGCAGCGGCCATTCTGACACTGGGGTGAGGGAACTGACTAACTGCCACTGACATCCCAATGACACAATGACGCAGGGAATTTCCGGGCGGGACTCGGTGATCAACATCTGTAGCCGCCAAGGGCGGCACGAGTAGGGTGGCACAGGCGGACGCACCCCCTACCTGGAAATGTACAATCACGTACTTCTGCTAAATCGCAGCACTTCCGCTATAGGGCAGTAGAGAAATGGTTAAATTTATTTATCTACTTATTTATTTTTGTAGGAACATATTGTCGTCTCTAAGTAAAATCCATTTGTATGTATTGACCTTCTGCGAGGTAATACCTGCACAGATTTCAGTAAGCTTCACTGCACCCATGTGACAGCATTGAAGAGTGACAGTTGCCCACTGATATACCCCATGCTGCATTAAGGAGAAAGCAGGTGTATGGAGTGTTACACCATACTAGGAAGTACTGGGTATTGCCAGGGGCATAATTACCACAAGGCAAACAAGGCACTTGCCTAGGGCGGCATTTTTCAGAGGAGCAGCACCTCCCCCTAGAAGAAGGGATGAAAGAAGGGACACGCCATGGGAACCAGGTGGGATCTGAGAGACTGCAAGCTACTTGATGGTGTATGTAGAGCCTGACTTATGTTCCTGGGGATGTCCGGAGCTGTGAAGATGAGTGTCTTTCTCTCTCTCACTAGGGGCAGGGGCAGACTGACAACTCATGGGGCCCCCGGGCAATAGGGGATCATGGGGCCCCTGTGTCCTTGCCCAAACTTAAAAAAGCCTATGAAAAAGGTACCAGGGGCATCTCATGGGGCCCCCTACTGACCCCGGGCCCTCGGGCAGTGCCCGAGTTTCCAAATGGTCAGTCCGCCCCTGACTAGGGGGGTTAAGTGGAAGGCTCTCCCAGGTGGGGGGCAGGGGTGTTTGGTCAATGACAGGTTCTCTCCACGGGAGGGGGAAGGGGGGTGGTGTTTTGGTTCTTGTCCGTGGAGGGAAACAATTTTTGTGTTACCTAGGACAGCACAAAACCTAAATACACCACTGGGTATTGCTCAGGGTTCTACTGGCAAAGGAGGTGATGAAAAATCACAGGTAAGGTGAGCAAAGCCTGGCTAGCATTAGCAAAGCACAGATGTTAATTTGAAGCAGAACTCCAGCCAAACCTAACAAGATAAAAATGATAGATTAGATAGATTAGATTTTTTAAAGATACAAAAACAGGTTTTGCTGCATTATTTGCCCTCAATACAGAGATTTCCCCCACAGTATTTTTATGTGTTGCTAGATATCTGCTCTGGTGGCTAGCATCATTGAAACTGTTTTCTCTTTATTCAGATCATTCATGAACCGTCCCGCCTGTAACTGGACAAGGAGAAACAGCACAGTGATGAGTTCATATCTCTGCCACTCTGCTTTCATCTCCTATCAGCATGCGTCATGACAGCACATGAACAGATTAGCTCATTGATCTGTTTCTTCCAGCCCTGCTGTACAGGGAGTGCAGAAATTTTGTACCAGGTCTATTTAGGTACTTACACTGCTTTCATTTAAATATTACATTTAAAGAGGAACTTCAAGGAAAATGCTCTTTTTTTCCATTCTTCTGCCTCGTTTCTGTGGGAAAAAAAATGTTTGCAATTAATATCTACCCTTTTCATGCTCCAGTACTGTCCTCAATTTCATCCTCAGGTCAGTGCGGGGGTGCTCTTCAGAGCAGAACGATACTTTGGCACCATTAGTTCTCCAGATCGCAAACAGTGATGCCAGCCAGCCTGCGAAACAACCAGTTTGGCCCTAACAGTTTGCATTAACCACCTCCTGCCCGCCATATAGTAATATGATGGACGCAAGGTGGTTCTCTCGTTCTGGGAGGACGTCATATGACGTCCTCCCATTCTCACCGTGCATGCGCGGCTCAGGGAGCATGCAGCGCGGTGATCGGTGGTGCGCTGTGTCCCTCGGACACAGCGGATCACCGATCACGGAAAGAGCCAAAGATGTCGGCTAGGTCACAGCTGATCACATGTAAACAGGGAAATGCCGGTTATCAGGCATTTCTCTCCTCTCGAGCTGTCACGCTGACAGCTCGAGGGGAGAGGAGAGCCAGTAATCGGCTTTCCGCGAGGGGACATGTACACTGATGATCAGGGCACTGATGATCAGTGTGCCCTGATGATCAGTGCAGCCCCAGCAGCGCCACCTGTCAGTGTCCATCAGTGCTTTGTGTCAGTGCTCATCAGTGCCACATCAATGCCACATATCAGTGCCTACCAGTGCACATCAATGCCACATATCAGTGCCCACCTGAGCTGCCTTTCAGTGTCACTCATCAGTGCCAGTCATTGCCATCTATCAATGCCAATCAGTGCCACCTATCAGTGCCAGTCAGTGCCACCTATCAGCGCCAGTCAGTGCCGCCTATCAGTGCGCATCAGTGCCACCTATCAGTGCCTGTCAGTGCCGCCTAACAGTGCCAGTCAGTGCCGCCTATCAGTGCTGCCTATCAGTGCCCATCAGTGATGCCTGTCAATGCCCATCAGTGCCACCTACCAGTGCCTCCTCATCAGTGCCCATCAGTGCTACCTATCAGTGTCCATCAGTGCAGCCTATCAGTGCCCATCACTGCAGCCTCATTAGCGCACATCGGTGAAGGAGAAAAATCACTTATTTACAAAATTTTATAACAAAAACTAAGAGAAAACTTTTTTTTTCAAAATTTTCAGTGGTTTTTGGTTTAAGAAAAAATAGAAAAAACTCAGAGTTGATTAAATACCACCAAAATAAAGCTCTATCTGTCACAAAAAAATGATAAAAATGTCATATGGGTACAATGTTGCATGACCGCGCAATTTTCATTCAAAGTGCGACATCGCTGAAAGCTGGAAATTGGCCTGGGCAGGAAGGGGGTATAAGTGCCCTGTAGGCTAGCGGTTAAAAACAGAGGGTTTTGTTTGCACACATTTGCACATACATGCGTAAGCCACAGTCCCACGTCAAGGGTCCTCTGTATACTGTGGACCTCACTCTAAAATTTCTTTATTATTTGCGATGTACATTGCCCTTCCATGGGCAATGGTTATATACCATTTTTTAATTTAGGAAAATTTTTTTTCAATATTATTATTTTTTAAAATTTACAATTTTACAATTTTTTTAGGAGTGAGATATCTATGGTGAAGTATCTATGGTGAGATATCAGGGATCTAAACAGACCTCTGATGTTCCACCTTTACAAAAGAGAAAGCAGATTGAGGACACAGCCCTCAAACTCCATCTCTGTAGCCTCAGCTGTACAGAATGAATGGACAGGAATAGCTCTGTGCAGAGCTTCCCTTTCATTTACAAACTGAAGCATAGTAAACACAGTTTGCTATGTTTTAGTTTTTCCTCTTAGATTGTAAGCTCCAAGGAGCAGGGCCCTCCTAACCAGGGGTGGACTGACCATTCAGCCTCTAGGGCACGGCCCAGGGCCCAGGGTCAGTAGGGGGCCCCATGAGATGCCCCTGGTACCTTTCATAGGCTTTTTTTAGGTGTGGTTTGAGTGTGGGAGAGGACATAGGGGCCCCATGATTTCCTATTGCCCGGGGGCCCCATGAGTTGTCAGTCCACCCCTGCTCCTAACCCTCTTGTATTGAACTGTATTGTTGCTGTATTGTCTCACTTTATTTTTTAAAGCGCTGAGCAAACTGTTGCCACTATATAAATCCTGTATAATAATAGTTATGAATGGACAGATTCAGTGATTGGTACAGATTACTGATTCTCCATTCAGAAAAGGAAGGAGCCAGTAATTGACACATTTACCGGCCCCTTCCCTGTTCTCCATCCTTACAGATCCCCCGTAGCAGCCGGCAGGAGAGGGGAGTAGGGAAACGGGCATTCAGCAGCTGCAGTAGGAAAATGGACATATCGATTCCTCTATCTGTAGCCGCCTCCGCCGCTCTGCTTATCCAGGTGTACAGGGGGGCCGCATGGGCCACCTGCAGCATGGAGCCAGGTTGCAACTGTGACCCCTGTAGGTTCGTCCCTGATTCCTATCTTGTGTTATTCTAAAGAAATAGCGGTTTGTCTGTGTCCATGTACAGAGTGAATCTGTGTTGGAGTGATTTTATAATCATCATTCAGCTGCTGCACCTGCAGGGCTCTAGTGAAGAAAGTGGCAGGGTCTGCATCTCTTTAGGCATGATTTGCCTTTGGGAGTATTACATCACAAATGACATTTTTGTTGCAGTGGATGCCCAAAATCTGACTTCTATCTCTAGTGCAGACTTCTGGGAAAATCAGTAAGCCAATCACACAAACAAGAAGTGACATTTCTGGGTGGGGGAGGGGGGGTTCTGTATAAAATCTGTGTACAAAATGCCTTCAGGTAGTCATATTACATTTTACAAAAAATACAGTACTGCAGAGTGAAAAGAAAAGGAAATTTTTAATAATATTCAATTACAATGTGGTGTGTAGCGATTCCATACACTATGGGTTTTGTTTTGTTATTTACTATTTTTTTCCCGCGAAAGTAAAGTTACCTTTTAATTTTCATTTTTTTTTCTTTACTTTTAGAAAATATAGTCTTGACTTTTTTCATCCTTCTTTATATCTCAGGGGTGTTCATGTCATTGCTGCATGTCATTACTCAGGACAAGCTTCCTAATGATGACAATGATGGAACAAGCCTGTGCAATGAGTGTCATCACGGCTACTTAGTATTTCCATTGCATGTGACAGGGTGACAACATAGGTAAAGTACTGAGAGACAGACTGTTGGCACACTCATGACCGGGGTGCCTGAACATGGATCTTTATTGCAGGATCATTAGGTGTTACTTTATTGAAATCTGCAGATTTAAAAATATTGCAAATGACTTTTGAAATGGGAAGACAAGCTTTATGGGGTTTTAGTGATTTGGTTTAGGTCTACTGATTCTGTAAGACTGTCGAGATTTATTTAATTTTTTATAAATTATCTGCTTATAATATAATAAGAACATTCGAAAAATTCATTTTTCAAGCCAAGAATCTCTACATAAGAATATTTCATATTGCAAGCTAAGAACGTTCTCTACTTCTGTTTCCTGACATTATGTAGAAGAAGTTTCTTGTAAAAAACCTTTTTATTATTATGGATGGAGTGCCATCTAGTGTTTAATAATAAATTCTATTCCAAAGAACATGCAGTATTTTACTTGGGGGAACATTTGCTGAAACGTGAGCTTCTGATAACTGTATCAGTTTATTATACTTAAACTACAATATTATTGCCATTATTATTTATTATTATTTGTGCTTAACCACTTGCCCTCCAGAGGATTAACCCCCTTCTTGACCAGGCCATTTTTTGCGTTATTGCGCTGCATTCCTTTAACTGACAATTGTGTGGTCATGCAACACCACAGCCAGATAAAATTTATGTCCTTTTTTTTTTTTCATTTCCCATGAATTGAGCTTTCTTTGGGTGATATTTGATTGCCTGTGCGTTTTTTATTTTTTGCGCTATAAGCAAAAAAAGACTGACAATTTTGAGAAAAAAACATTTTGGACATTTTATTAAACATGTCCAGTACAGAATTTTAAAAAATCAAATGTCATCATAAATTTAGGCCACAATGTATTCTGCTCCATGTCTTTGCTACAAAAAATCCCAATACGTGTAAATTAATTGGTTTACGTGAAAGTTATAGCGTTTACAAATGGCTGTTTAGATACTGGGATTTTTTGTTTCCTACTAGTAATGGCGGTGATCAGCGACTTTTAGCAGGAATGCGGCACTGCGGCAGGCATTCTGACACTGAGGGGGAATTAACTTGGTGTCAGTGACACTAATACAGTGATCAGTGCTAAAATACAGCATTGACACTGTACTAATGACACTGGGCAGGAAGGAGTTATTGTGAGGGACGATCAAAGGGTTAACTGTGTGTAGGGAGTGTTTTACTAGGGGGCGGGCGGTGTGTGCTTTACTGTAAGAACACTGTGCACATCCATCCCGAGCAGTGTGCCCGAGCTGACAGGAAGGAAGTCTTCCTCCCTGTCAGTGTTTGTTGGTAATCACTGGGCACCGGCGGGTAATCACCGGGCGAGACCCGGCGATTGAGATCCACGGCCGCAAATGGCGGCGCAGGTAGAGCGCACGCACGGCTCGCGCACACCCCCTACCTAGAAATGCAAAATCACTTATATATATAATTTTGCGCACCTGTGCTGCTGTGTAGCAGTATATCTGCTATACGGGGACGGGTAAGCGGCTAATTTACATGTATTGGGATTTTTTTTTTAGCAAAGACATGTAGCAGAATACATTTTGGCCTAAATTTATGAAGAAATTAGATTTTTTACATTTTTTACTGGACATGTTTTATAGCACAAAGTCAAAAATATTGTTTTTTTTTCAAAATTGTTGTTTTTTTTTTTGTATATAGTGCAAAAAGATAAAAACACAGAGGCAATCAAATACCACTGAAAGAAAACTCTATTTGTGGGGGGAAAAAAGGACATAAATGTAATTTGTATGCAGCATTGCATGACCGCACAATTGTCAGTTAAAGTAACGCCGCACCGTATCACAAAAAATGGCCTGGTCAGGAAGGGGGATAAATCCTTTGAAGGGCAAGTGGTTAAACAAACAAATATCCAGACTTACATTCAAGTAAGGGAAGTCCTGCTTGGACCAGGGGCGGACTGACCATTTGGGAACTCAGGCACTGCCCGAGGGCCCGGGGTCAGTAGGGGGCCACATGAGATGCCCCTGGTACATTTTTTCATAGGCTTTTTTGGGTGTGTGTTTGAATTTGGGCGAGGACCCAGGGGCCCCATGATCCCCTATTGCCCGGGGGCCCCATGAGTTGTCAGTCTGCCCCTGGCTTGGACATATTCCTTTGATTATGGTTCATGTACTAAGCGGAGAGCGCTGAGAGATTTTGGCTTTTTGTATTTTCCATGAAAGGTTATTCCTATCAGGGACAGACTGACAACTCATGGGGCCCCTGAGCAATAGGGGATCATGGGGCCCCTGTGTTCTTGCCCAAACTCAAAAAAGCCTATGAAAAAAGGTACCAGGGACATCTCATGGGGCCCCCTACTGACCCCGGGCCCTTGGGCAGCGCCCGAGTTTCCAAATAGTCAGTCCGCCCGATTCCTATACAACTTCACATACAGAACTACAAGCATCGGATTGAACAGTACATGCCATGTTGTCTGTGAATGCTTTGAGTGAAAATATTTCATAATCCAAACACAAGAAAGATAATATCCCAGGAATGAGATTATATATTGGATATTATCATCCACGACTGCCACATGCGCCATACATGAACCCATTCACATCTGCAGGAGCTGACATTCAATATCAGCACACTAGATGGCGCTGTAGCATCTCTCTCAGAGCTCACTCTGCCGCACAGAGCGGTAAAGAGCCGCAGCTGACTTCCGCCAATTGGCTTTCTATCGGCTTCAGCGTTCCATATCAGAGCGAGGCGTGAACAAGACATAGCCTGAGCACGTGGTAGCCTCTTCCGCCCGCCTCGGACTTTGTTTTGATTGGCGGAAGAGGAGCAGGCGTCTATATAAAACGGAGTGATTGAGCGAGGGATAGACACGTGATGGTCAGCGTGTGTGCAGAAATGTGGGTCAGTGTTATTATGATCCGCCTCCTCCCTGTTGAGCCCATGTGGTATGCAGAGTGTGTGAGGGAAAGGATGGATTTGATGCATTTGCACCTACAGGGTTTTTTTTAATTTGAAGTTTAATGAAGGGCACTCTTTTTTAGTATTGGATGGAGTGCAGAGGATTAGACTCCCTGTCAGGTTTTATTGCTGTCTCTGCCCTGGTTAAGGCAATTTCTTGCTATTTCTCATGTTTACTGTTATTATCCAAATGTAAAAGAAAATTCCTAATTTTGGGTTGTCCCCTGAGGGGAAATCTTCCAATGGGGTCACTAGTTTTGGTGTTCCCCAAGGATTTCCCCTAATTTGCAGGGATTTCTGCTTACTTCCTGTTTGGCTTTGGAACAGGAAGTGAAGGGAAATTTCCACAATAGGACACAGATGGTGAGAAAAAAAGGTCAGGGGTTATAACTCTCCTTTATCCATAATGGGGGGGGGGGGGTTGCCTATAGTTCTAATATAATGCAAAACAAAGGTGGGGGGTGCAAACAAGACTTAACCACTTGCTGACTGCACTATAATAAAAAGACTGCTAAAGTGTGGATGGCTAGTTCTGGGAGAGTGTCTATAGACGTCCTCCCAGAATGTGAATGTGCTTTGTGATCACTGTGCCCTTCATCACGGATTGTGGTAAAGAGTCAATCACAGGTGGCCTTTACCATGTGTTCAGCTGTGTCCAATCACATTGCTGCCAGTGCATGGACTAGGCAAAATGCCTTGTCTCTTATGTTTGTGGTTCACACCGCTGTGTTCAGGTGTTGTGTGAGCACAGTGCTATCAGAAAAAGTACTGCATGCAGTACTTTTTAGTCTGTGCAGTGAGGCAGTCTACTGCCTGGTACCACACAGGTGGCAATTGAACTTTGAGTCCTCATGCACACTTGAGGTTTTCAGTGGCCTTTTTTGGCTTTTGATTTTTTTTTTTTTTTTTTTTTTTTTTTTTCCTACAGCTAGTAAACCCCCCAGCATGTTATCCTATGTGTCCATACCAGGGGTGGACTGACCAATTGGAAACTCAGGCACTGCCTGAGGGCTCGGGGTCAGTAGGGGGCCCCATGAGATGCCCCTGGTACCTTTTTCATAGGCTTTTTTGAGTTTGGGCAAGGACACAGGGGCCCCATGATCCCCTATTGCCTGGGGGCCCCATGAGTTGTCAGTACACCCCTGGTCCATACACACAGACTGTAATCAGTGGTTTTTGGCTGGAAAGAAAACCCAGGACTAGTGTTTCTAGAGGTTTTTTTTTTTTGTTTTTTTTTTTAGCTGTAAAAATGCTCTAACGTGGTAAATCACTGCAAACTAGCGTTTTTGAACGTTTTTAACGTGCTTTTATACAGCGAACATTACCAGTGTTATCAAAGTCCAGTGTGCATGAGGATTGAGATGTCCTTGTGAAATGTTAAAGTTCATTTAAAAAAAAAGTTCTCCACTGAACTCCATGCATCTTCACTGTGCTGATTTCAGTTGGCTCACACTGCACACCCACCAGCCTTTAACTAGTTGCCGACCGCAGATAGCCGAATGACCGCTGCACTGCAGCTGGCCTTTTCTGGGAGGGCGTCATCACGTCCTCCCAGAACACGCTCTCCTGCGCACCCCCGGGGATCTCCGTGATCGCTGTGTCCTATGGACACAGCTGATCACGTGATGTGGTAAAAGGCCAATCAGGCCTTTTACCACGTGATCAGCCATGTCCAATGACACACTGTTCACCGGGAAATGCAATTGTTGGTTCTCGGCTGCACTTTCCACATGCTGTCTGAGTGTGAGGAAAGTACTGCTGAGAACCGGCAGTTGTCAGAGCAGAGATCGGCACCGATCAGTGCCCTGATGATCGATGCCCAGCAGTGCTGCCTATCTGTGCCACCTCATCAACGCACATCAGTGAAGGAGAAAAATTACCGGTTTGCAAAATTTGTAATGGGAACAAACTCTTTTTTTTTTTTTTTTTTTTTTTTTGTTAGTGCAAAAAGCAAAACACCCAGCGGCAAGTAAATACCACCAAAAAGCTCTATTTGTGAGGAAAAAAAAATGATAAAAATGTAATATGGGTATAATGCTGCATGACCGCACAATTGTCATTCAAAGTGTGACAGTGCTGAAAATTGGCCTGGTTGGTAAAGGGGTATAAGTGCCCGGTAGGCTAGTGGTTAAAATCCTCACATCAGCCCCACATAAGTGTAACACATCCATATCTGTTTTGTGTAAACTAGCTATAGTTAATGCACTCCTCACTGCAGATCTTCCAGTGTATACATGCTTTCAGGTATTACACGAAGGATTGTATGAGTGTAAAGGGTTTCAGAGATATGTTTGAATACAATGGACAGTGGTTAAAATTGCTGTAAAATGTGCATTGTATATGGCAAGCATTTGAGTTGTCCCAGCGCCACAGCTGTCTTTTCGTTCCTCTAGTTCATGTCAGTCCCCTTTTTCTCTAACACTGGTGCTTTCTTCTGTTGGCTAAAGGGCTCTTGCAGCTTGAATGGTCTGGGCTATGGCTCTAGATTGGTGTATCTAGTGCCTTTGCCATGACCAAGAGCAATCACCAGGTATGACCATCAGCTGGGCCAGCCTGAGCAGTAACAGGTGTGGGCATCTAACAGCAGCTTGATGCTCATTTATAATACTGCACACAGTCCATGTAGGCTCTCGGCATGAATCATGCAAACCGGAGTAAAGGGAAAAATCAATACCCAAAGTGTTTGTTTTTTGTTTTGTTTTTTTAAGTTTGCTTTTTTCTTTTCTGCAGAGTAACATGTATATGGATGTAGTTTACATGTCGTGTTTTTGTTTTTTCAGCTGAAGCTGTCTAATTCTGTTATCATGAGAATGAAGTTCCTATGCTCACAAAGAGCTCGGTGAAGGTACAAGCTGGCCAAGGTCACTTGTGGTGGGGTGCCAGGTATCAATAGAACATTGATCAGTTGCATTACAGCCCTGTCCGAGGGGCAATATCGAGACATTGTTTTGTGACACCCTGTTCAAGTGCCTCATATTAAGAAAAATGCAAGCAATTTTGGAACAGCGGTATGCAACAAAAGTTTATGTGCAATATGGAGAAGCTGTGCTACCTTCTGCACAAGTGTACCTTCAAGGAAGGATGCGAAGGGGTTGAAGATGAACCATGATCAGGATGCCCCTCCATCAAAAACTGAACAGAATGTGGATGCAGTGAGGTCTGTTCTCAACTGTGACCAACAGAATCACTATCAGAATGATTGCATTGGAAACTGGAATTACCAACTTTGTAAAATTGTGACGCCGCATTTGAACATGAGAAAAGTGTGCAAAACCTGTTCCAAAGAACTTGTCACCTCATCAGAAGATACTTCTTCAAATCATTTGCCAAGACTTGCTGGCCCATTTAGAGCCTGATTTTATTTTTTTTTGAGTTATCACAGGAAATAAATTCTGGGTGTTTGAGTACAATCCTGAGACTAAGAAGCAAAGTTTAGAATGGCACAAACCCACGTCACCTCTCCCCAAAGATAGCTTGAATGAGAAAATAGTCAAACCAGTGGTTGTGGGGGTTTTTTTTTGTGCAATTGTCCATAAGGAATTTTTTCCTGCTGGTCAAACTGTGAATTAAATATTTTACCTGGAAGTTCTTGGTTGAGACTTTTTTTTTTTTTTTTTAAGTGTGCGTGTGCATTCAGGGAGTTCTTGACTGAAACACATCAGTGCTTCCCCATGTAGCCTTGACTTGGCTTCTTGGGACTTTTTCATCTTCCCAAAGATGAAGGGTTTGATAGGACACCATTTTGGTAGTGTGGATAACATCCAAAGAGCCACTATGCAGGCTCTGAACACCATCCCACTTGAAGACTTCCAGGGATGCTATGAAGAATAGAAAAATCTCTGGGAGCATTGTGTACACTCAC